TCAGTCTTTACGAACGTTCAATCAAGGTTTTCTTCTCTTTTTTGGGGGGTTGCTTTTACTTCAGAATGCGCGGAAATCTGCTGAAATATCGAAAAATGTCCATTTCTCGTCTTCTTTGGAGGGACCTGGTGGAAACCTCATGGTCCGGTGAAATCCAGGGTCACGCCATAGCGATAACGTTATATAACGTACACGTTCGGCTGACAAATGACCGTTGTTAAGATAGTTTGGTATGGATCAGCCAACTTTAATACGTTTCAACATGATGACAGACGATTATAACGGCGTATCGTCAGAGGATTTCAGATTGCTCAAATTCTCATGAAAGAAGGTACAGTACTCGGAATCTGGATGATATGCAAACGATTTAAGGTACTTGTTTGTGGTTACGTCGGGCAGTCCTCCATGAAGGCATCCACGGAGACCCAGGGGCAGTAGGTCGATTTCAAATTAGGGCATGAAGAGGCTATTCATGCCCTAACTTGAAATCGACCCACTGCCCCTAGGTCTCCGAGGATGCCATTAAGGTAGATCAATTTTTTTTTAAATATTAAAGCTAGTGGTGAGATTTCTCTTCAGGATATTGCTTATAAGATAACATTGTTTCAAAGTCGTGCACTTTTCATTTGTCTGAAATTCTTGTTGTTGAGAACATTAGATGTAAACATTGCCAATTTATGCAATATCTGAGTTTTGAGCTTCGCATGCGAATTGCTATTATGAAAAGTAGAGGCCGGCCCGTAGAGATTTTTACATATTTAAAAACTAGCCAAGTAAGTGCGTAGTTTCAGTTCCAGAATCGGTGTACTTTTGAAAAATTTAGACAAACGTTTTCCCTGTTTTACCCTACATCAAAAATGACTGAAAGTGTACCAAGATAAAGAATCTATTCAGTGGTGTGTTCACGTTCACTCCCAGAGAAAATTGAATGCATCAAATTAAAGACGAATGATGTCACTATGTGTGCTAGAAGTACCAATCTGTAATGTTGTATTTAGCTTGAGAGGGAGAAATAAACATTTTACACCTTTTTTGCGATGTTTTTGTAAGAAAATGAGGCCCTGGGCCTCGAACGAGCAGCCGTTGTTACCATGGCAACAAGAGTGCTGCAACCTTTAAAAAGGGCATTTTTATGCATCCCCCCTAAGCGCCTAACTGCATGCAAAATTTGAAGGGGTTTGAAAATTTTCATTTCTCAAGATGTTTGATTCTTACAGAGACACGTTCATAACTGTATGCTCTCGACCAATCAAAGTTTTCAATTCAAGTTAATTAAATGTTTAATAACATTAGTTAACAGTTCTGCCTCGTATCTTAATGGTAGTGATCGAAGTAGACAAAGAGAAATATGAATACTATTAATTTCTACCTCATTCGGGTTCTAATTTTAGTCACCTTTCTCTTGAGTCACTTGACTACGCTTACGAGAACTAATTGTGCTTAAAATTTCGACGCTACGTTTCAGTTCTTCACATGGATGAAAGTATCCACTTGAGCGTTTTCAATTGGTCTGCTCTACTGAATCACCTGCCAAACAAAACAGAAGTTGTATTAACCAGCATCTTTAATCGCGATTGTTTATCAGCAGCCCAAAAGAGAGCTGTGTACCCGTCATCCTTACAACAGGACATAGTGAAGGGAACGTCTTCGCGTCGCGCTTGTGTAACTGGACAGTGGTGTTATTTGCATGCGTTATAAAAGGAGCTATTGGATTCATATTCTTGAAGGGAAAGTATACGTACGAAATCCGTCAGAAGAAGGTCATCTCGGGTAGATTTCCAATTACGAAATCCGAGCTCCCCCGATGTTGTGCTCGTGATGATGGCCCTATTTAGCATTTTAGACCCGCATAATAGAGAAGAAACGAACATGTACTTCGGGTTTACTCATGACTTCGTATTAGCGTTTAGATATTTGCTTTTTTTTTTTTGTCGTTGCTAACCCTAATTACATACTCCACAACATTTTTGCGATGCCTCCTTTTCACGGATGGCCGATCACAACTACAACATAGTGACACCTCTACGAAATCTGTCAAAAGGAGGCTATCAAAACACCAGAGGTCATCTCGGGTAGATTTCTGATGACGAAATCCGAGCTCGCCCGATTTTGTCTTCGTTATGAAGGCCCTATATCTTTAGCATTTCAAAGCCGCAAAATAGAGTAGAAAGGAACACTTACTTCGTTTTCGCTGATGACTTTGTATCAGTGTTAAGATATTTGCATTTTTTCCCGTTGCTATCCTACATGACAGATTCCACAAAATACATTTCATGCCTCCTTTTCACGGATGGCCGATCACAACTACAACGTAATGGTCGTAATGACATCTCCAAGAAATCTGTCGAAAGGAGGATGTTAAGACACCAGAAATTATGTTTTAATACAAGCTATTTTCGCGCGACATATATAACGCATTGTGAACAGAAATACCTTTTCTAAAATAAAGCTTTTGAGATAAAACATCAAGGTATATGGTTAACTCAGTAAAGTCAACCACGCCCAAAACTACTAAAAATCTTCTGGATTTCTGATGAAATAAATTTAACGCAATTACGTTCAGAGTTTAAGCGATAAATTGTTATTTCTAATATGGCAATTGATTAAAAATTGTACATTGCCTCGATTGGACGGAGTNCACCACAAATCAGAGTCAATGTGCCAGTTCTTCGATAAACGTGGTTACCCTGTTTCCGTCGTTCAAGCGGGTTACCACCGCGCTCAACTTATTGATCGACATTCAGCACTACAAACGTCGCATAAGGAAGATTCCGACCGCATTCCATTCACTCTCACGTTTCACCCTCACAACCACTCAGTTAAATCCATCATTCTTAAAAACTTTAAATTACTTCAAAACGATCCAGAGACAAGCACTATCTTTTCGCAGCCTCCGCTCATTTCATTCAAACGCGACAAAAACTTAGGCAATTTTTTGGTCAGAAGTTCTTTTCAGACTAATGAGCAACCAGGCACTTTTAAATGCGCTCGTGCACGATGCAAAACGTGTCCTTTCATTCACAACACTGATAAAATATCGGGACCTAAACGATCCATTAAGATCACCGATCACTTCACGTGCACCTCCGCTAATGTAATCTATTGCATAACTTGCACTTATTGCAAAAAGATATACATCGGCGAAACAGGCAGAAGACTAGGTGACCGATTCCGAGAACACCTTCGAGACGTGGAAAGGAATGACAAGGACACATCGAAACCAGTCGCTAGACATTTTAATTTACCTAATCATTCTAAGCAACATATGGCAATCTGCGGTCTTTCCTTGCACTTAGGTGGCACGGAAAGCCGTAAAAATCTTGAACAAAAGCTCATCTTTCAAACCGGCAGTCTAAATCCCACAGGGATCAATGAACGCTTTTCATTCCACTAATTTATTCATGTTTTTCTCGTTGCCATGCACCCACCAATAACGTAGCTCCATTTTCTGCCTTTAAAAGCACACACAACCCACAATTCCTCTATTCGCTCCGACGAAGGGCTAACGCTCGAAACGTCAGCTTTTGTAATCATTACGGTGGCCAATTTACCATTTCAACTTTGTTGATATATCCAAATTATTTCGTTACTCCCACCGACGCAGCCCCAAACAGTTTCTTTCGAAACTATCAGCCTTTATTCATTTGTATCTTAACAAACAACGGGAAGTTCTGAGAATCAGTTGTTAATGCTTCATGTTAAGGACTCTTTCGAAGTTTGGACAACGCCAATTTGCATTTGAACCTTCCAAAATAATTGTTGAAATAACGCATTTCCTGTGAAAAAACTTAAACTCCATGCAGCTACAACATTTCACACAACGAGGAGACTTTTAGTCTGACTCTTCCCCTGGCATTCTACACTTCTTGAGAAATTAATTTACGTGCCATCATAGAATTCGAAATGTTAGTTCAGAAAGCGAAATTATTGATTGGAATACGGCCAAACGCTGAATACGAATTGAGTGAGCAAACAGATACTTTGATATCTCGGACGATAACATCCTGCCTTTGCGAGTTTGGACCATTCAATTGTCTGGGAGTTAATCGACATTAACATTTATCTTTCCTCTCCATTTCCGCTGTTTTAACATCCTCCTTTTTACAGATTTCGGGGAGGTGTTACTATGTTGTAATTGTGATCGACCATCCGTGAAAAGGAGGCATCGCAAAAATTTTGTTGAGTCTGTAAAAGTGGTAAGCAACGAACATAAAGCAAGTATCTTAAGGCTAATACGAAGTCATAAGCTAACACGAACTACGGTGATCGTTTCTACTCTGTTTTGCGGGCGGTGTAAAATGCTAAATAGGGCCATCCTCACGAAGACAACATCGGGCGAGCTCCGATTTCGTCATCGGAAATCTACCCGAAGATGACCTCCTTCTGACGGATTTCGGAGTACGCTTTCCTTCTTGAAGAATATTGCCATGACTTCATTTGTTAAAAGGTGAAGCTGTAGCGCACTGTCCTATCCTTATTTTTTCATGGTGTCGATAACCCTTATTCATCTGGTAGAATAGCTAATGTTAAATGTCTAAGTCAGAATTTAAACACAAAAGTGATACCTTGAAACATTTTCAACATTTGCCCCACCAGACTTTCAATTTGAGTCTCCCAGCTGTGCTTCTCTTCGAAGTTGGAGCGCAGTTTGTCAGCCTGCTCAAGACGTAATTACTTGTCCGTTTCTTTAGCCTTCTTGATTGAATCGGCCCATTTTTCAGCATTTTCGGCATCATCAACTGTTGATGCTCTACCAAAAGGTACCACTCTCAGGGAAGCTGCAAATGCTGAATCTCCACATACGTACAATGGAAGGCCTACTGATACGGCGCACAGAGCCATCAAACCACATTCGTCCTCGGCTGACAACAACATAGCAAGATTTACTTCACAGAACAGGCGTTTCAAGTCTAGTTCACAGACCGGAAAATCTTGATCCATAATCAGTTGCTGTTTAGCGGCCTCGCATTCACACCAATTCTTCTGGAATTCGGTTCTTTTATCTTTGTCCACCCCAGTTACAACCAGGCGAAGAGTTTTGTCTTTCAGCAATGAAATCGCTTTGGCGGCGATGTTGACGCGATCACGGAAAAACTCAGTGGACTTTTTGCCGCTCAGAACCAGGATGCGAAATTCTGTTGCATCCCCTTCAACATGATTCAAATCCATCGATTCGCTGAAAATCCCAGGTGTCAGTTTAACGACTTGTTTCTTCGGGTGACAAAGAACAGCAGTAAGTTTTTCAGCAGACTTAGATCCAAGGCCAACGACAAGATCTGCTTTTTCGCAAAGGCCAACGGTTGTGTCCCGCGAGTTAGTCAGGCTGTACACCATCTGAATCCTCTTCTTTGAGACGCCAAGTTCTCTCAACAAGTGTGCAACTTTACCGAGTCTGTGGTCTAACGCAACTACCACATCAGTAACAAAGTTGTCTGGAGGAAAGTATAGCCAATCAATTCGATCGACAAAACCTGGTTGTGCCTTTGCTTCAGCAATGGTAATACCACGCCCCTTAGCATCTTGCTTATCACCTTCTTCCAATGTCTCGTCTGGAACTAGCAAAATGACTTCCACCTGAGAATGTTTTGCTAATTGAAAAGCAAACTCTATTGTCTGGTAGGAGAAAGCCGTGAACGGAGCGCACCAGCCCTGTGAAAGAACGGTAACTTTGACAACATCACTGGAATTGCTTATAGTTGTGGACTGTCCTACAGGATGTTGAGAACAGGAGCTGGGAGAGTCTGTCTGTTTAAAAACAAAATAATTTTTATGATGTGCATTAGTTACTATTATTAGAAGAATGAAGGAACGTGGCAGATCTACGTTGAAAACATCAGAATTTTCTGTAGCGAAGTGATTGTTGAGACTTTCTGAGGAAAAATTTATCATGCAACATTATTTGGCATAAATAATATCATAGAGAAGTGCCACAGAGTGGCTTTCTCGTCTGTGACTGAAGAGACAGTGAATGTTCTGTCATTTTCTTACACAGCAATTGCTTTTAGATGTTTAAAAGATTGATAGACACCAGTAATATTTTGAAAAAGGTTTCCGCCTAGTGTGAAAGTTTCATCGGTTAATTGCTGGTTTTCTTTTTTTTCCCAGAATGGTATAAGAGACCTTTTTGACCACAAAATTGTGACAACCATCGACTTGATTGGTTATTTGTTTTTTGCGACATCAGCGATGATAAGGAATGAAAGAACGTAATGAGAAGAGATGAATTCTAAATACTTGCTTACAGCTCTGGGATGGACGGTCCTGGCTTCGAGTCCTCTTGTCTCAGAAATGATTCTGCGGGCTTCGTCTGTTGCACAGTAATCCATTGTTGTTAGACCATAGGTATTTTCAAGGTTTGGATCTGCACCAGATTCTATCAACACTTTCAATACGGCCTTCAAAGTTCCGGCTTCGTTTGGACTTGGCTTGAAAGCTACAGCTACATGAAGAGGAGTGTCTCCTTTGTGATTCTTCGCATTTACATCAAAACCTCCACGCAAAAGAGCGGTCATGGTCTTGTCACAGGGTAGTTTGCACGCGCTTCGCACATGGGCAGCTGTTTCAATCTTGAAGTTGTAACAGGCTGCCAAGTGTAGAGGTGTATCTCCATCACGAGTGCGGGGATCTTGGCGACAAAAGTTGAGAAGTAAGTCTGAAGGGCCTGGTTTCTCGTCTTCTTTTTGTGTGACATTAGTGTATATGATTAAAAGATAGAGAGCACAAAAATTTAAACTTTCTAATTCCGCTGCAATGGCTCTAGCGTCTTTTTCTTTGATTCGCGATCTGCCCAATTGCGACTTCTCAGTGAGTCTTTCGTACTCTAAAACAAGTTGTTCAAAAACTTCTTCAATCAGCTTAACATCTAAATCATGTTCTCGGCTGGAAACCATGCGTGCAAATAAAGCCGTGAGCTCTTCTAAATCCTCTTCTACAGGTTTTTTGCAGTGCATGCCTATTTCCAGCGCACGACGCCACAAAAGAAAAGAGACATCGAAAGAACCACAATCAGCCATGAAAGTTCCACAGTATCTAATTGGAAGGCGAAGCTCCGTATTGTTAGTTCCGAGAATTCTCTCTCTAATAATCAGTCCCTCGATTCGTATTGCGCGATCGTTGCCGTTCAACTCAGCAAGGTCCTCAAGAGATTGAGCTTCTTTTTTGTTTTCGTAAGCTTCGATGAGTTTCACTTTTTTTTTATACAATGGACTCGGCTTGATTTCAAATCTCTTTTTCATCCCACGTTCAATGTACAGGAATGCCTTATCGATGTCATAAGCATTAGGATCATTAGCAATTGTGGCGCCAAGAAGTTCAAGTGCGTCAATTTCTTTTTTTTTTCTTGCGCGAGCTCCACACCCCTGGCGTTTGATTAAATGCTCCACCATTTTGATTTTACAGTTATTGCTTGCTAGGAGAAGAGGTGTGAGATGATGTTTGTTTTTTTTCTGTGACGCCCCATTGCTTAGGAGTTTATCAGCAATTGCAATGTGGCCCTGTCTTGCAGCCCAGTGAAGGGCCGTATTGCCGCCGTTGTCGCAAACATTTACCTTTGCACGGTGTTTGATGAGAAAGTCAACAACTTCTATGTGACCATAGTGGCAAGCTGAGAACAATGGTGTACTTTCATCATTCCCGTGTGCGTTAACATCTGCTCCGTTTTTGCACAAATAATTTACAATATCAATCTGTCCACTACAGGTAGCGGCTCTTAAAGGAGTAGAACCTGTCAGATCTTTACTATCGACTTCCGCTCTTCTTTCGATTAACAGTTGCACAACATCAAGATGTCCTGCAGAAGCAGCGGCCCACAACGGGGTACAACCCTCGACAACTTCGTCCTTATTCTTGACATTTCCGCGCACATTAATGTCTGCTTTGTAGCTGAGTAGGGTTTTCACAACTTTCAACTTTCCGTTGGAAGCGGCGATGATTAGTGGAGTAGCGATATTGTCACCATCTTTTGTTTTGGCTTCTAGCGCACTCTTTTTCTCGCTTTCGGACAGCTGTTTCAAGACTTTGATAAGATCATCCCTCTTACCGTCGCGAGCGAATTCATAAACTTTAGTCCTTGAATTAGTATGCTGACTCTGCGATGGAGCACTTCCCATTTCATTATCGCCGTCGCCTGTGACTGAAACCTTTCGCTCGAAGCCTCTCTGAAGCCGAAAATACCACAAACATATGCCAAGCACGTAGGTAAATAAAGTATAGGTCACGACACAAGTCGCAAAATTCAATACGCTTAAGCTTATCAATGTAGTCCTAGCTTGGGAAAGCTTCTTGCTCTTTTATCTCATATATATGTTTACTGATGGATCTTTGTTGTCTTTGGATATTCGAAGTAAAAGATAGACAAGGCTGAGATTAACCAAACTTATTTTTGTTCTAATATAGGATCGTTTCTGAGGTTCTGTTCAGTCTGTTTTCTGGATAATATCAACCCAATCGACGTCTGATTTTGACATTCTAACCAAGCTTGACTCAAAATGAATTTGGGTTGTCACTGCTCAGGACTCGTGCTTAAGAACGTGCCTTTTTTATTGTCTCTTTTATGTTCATTAAATAAAAGATGATTATTACTAAAAATCATAATTCGCCAAGTTTAAGTTAAAACTGTTCTTGTTACGAGTGCCCTTAAATTCAACTTCCGTTGACTTTACAGTTATCGGGTTGCACTCCACTATATGCATTGTATATTGCGCCATCTTTTAATGTTGGTTTGACCCTGTCCTCCGAGAAGTAACCAAAACTTAATTTTCCCTTACAACACCGCTACATTTTCAAGCAGAAAGGGGCCGAAATTCAAGAAAATTTCCCTTCGCAATGTCTTTTTATTTTCACGCCAAAATCTCATATCTAAAATTATAAGTATTTAATGCGTGACAAAGGGGAAAATCGGTATCGAAAGTGTCAAGAGAAAATTATTACACGCAAACCGGAATCAACGGTCAACCAAGAGGAATGGCGGGGTTACCAAGCAGCACAAGTTGACCGCTTAATACAGGTTCCACAAAATAGCGGAAAAAGAAACGATGAAAACCGCCCTTCCATTGTACTGACATTATTTTCAGGAGAAATACATGGATCCAATTTTTCGTGAAGTATTATGATTAGTTTTATTTGACCGTTCAACCTGAAAAGTGGAAGACAATAGAAACAGGCCGTTGAGACTCACTCAAAGGTGATCACAACCGCTTAATATATAATGGAGGGGGACAGGGGGCGGGAGCCCGGGAGAGCAAGGGGCGGGAGAGGGAGGGAAGCGGTATCTACAAGAGGATGGAAACCGGGAGCAGAAATAAATAAGGCGATAGTTTGTTGCTTATTATCGAGTATTACTCAGTCATAAACACTTATCTAGCAAGGTTTGGAAATTTCCAGTTAACATCCACAATGCTTAAAAACATTTTCGGAGGCAAGAAAACGTAAATTTGTACCCGGGCAGGAAAAACAGCATTATTTCCGGTAACTTTGTGAATCCCTTCAAATTGATTACGTCATTGGTCATGAGATAGCATTACATGTACAGTGCCTGGTAAGTTGTAGCTGTCGAAAATCTCCAACAAAGAAAGTGATTCAGGGTCATTCAGGCCAACTGTGACAAATGTCGTCAAAGACCATATTAATCGGTCTCAGTATTTTCCGTTGTGGCTACGAAAAATCCGTTCATGGAATACCTGCTTGAGAGCTCGCTCCTTATGACTGCACCTCCCAAATTAATGAAGATTTTACCTCGTGGTGCAAACTTGTTTCAAAGGAATGCCGCTTCAGTGAGCGCGCCGGAGAGTGCGGAGTGGTCCATTTTTCGATGCAGGGAGCCCCAGCTGAGAAGACAGTCGCCTCAGTAACCTTCATTAAGAACCTCCTCCAACGCCCTCGAACGCGATTATGTAAAATCCATCATCTTTAAGTAAATTCCTCATCTGCTCGAAGTTCTTGATGTAAGAACATTTCTTACACACGCTAACGAGTATTTCAATGGTGAAATGCGACAGTTGACAGACACACCTTTGCTGGATTGTGCGATGAATTTCGTTGCGGCAGCAGATGAGACCTGAAAGAGAATTGCTTGGCCTGCTTATATTTGCTTCACTCGGGAGAAACAACACTATGAGCTACCATCACAGTTTTCAATCAAGTACGAAGGCTTACTTCCGGTGCTAGGAGAGCCAACTACGTTCCTGAATAAAGAGGACATCAAACGCTTTAACGATTGGAGAAATGAATTTGGACGAGGGGTCAGGTAACAGTCCGTGCGAAATTCTTTCACGAAAGACAAAGCTGGCACTCTCCCCTTGTATATGTACACTTCGGTGGATGCACACGACAGCACTGAGGAACAAGCTCTTACATCAATACAGGAGCTTATAAGGCTGTGAGTTCTGAAAAGGAGGCAGATACACCAGTGCATCCATCAGGTACTAACTATAGAAGCGATGTAGAGCCCGTACCCTTGCCTGGGTATGATCACAAGACGCATCAGTCATCACATACTGGAATTTAAGCAATCAAATGCAAATCAAACTTTTTCTTTATGTTCATTTCACGTGCGACAGATGCAAATGATTTCTTTGGCACTACATATGTCATAATAGATGAAAGCTGTTTCCTCTTCGAAACATCTAGCGAAGAAGCAAAATGCAAGGAAAGTGACGTTATTTGTGAAATTGGTGGAGATTCGATGCGATTATTCAACGGTCGTTTAGAGCCAACTGAAGAAAGATTTTGCCAGATCCTTTCAGACTCCCGAGGGGAATGCGATTTAGAAACAAATGAAACTAAAGAAAGTCAAAAATGTTATCTTGACGCGGAGGAAGAAGAGACTCTAGCCAAAATTTGGAGTAGGAAGAGGTCAGTGCGGCCTCCCCGGCGCATGGATGACTTTTTCTAACCGCAAAGGTTAAAAGACGATTTCAACCCATCGAACAAATCTGATAATCGGTCGAACAAGACTGTTCAATCATACTTCACTAGCAATGAAACTTAACGCTCACAATGCAAACGGTTCAACAATTGATGTACTAACTACAAATACTTAGTCCTACTTGCGTCAAAAAGGGAAAGCAAGCACGAATACAGAACCAGCAAACTCTAAACGTTACGTCTACCTCTTGATTTTTTCATTTGATTTTGAATTAGCAATAGCTATTACATCACATAGTGAGCTGAGACTTTCGTCTCTTTGACAAGATGTCAGAAGCGACGATCAAACT